CCCCAAAACCCCAAAACCCCAAAACCCCAAAAAATAGTAAAATGCATTATAAAAAATGCTGAACGATTTGATACGCTTCGGGAACTCTAAAAAGTAGGATTTAAACTGGACCAAATCCTGAGCCCAATGTGGTCGTTTTTAAGATCTTCTTCAGCAACATCATACTCCATTTGGGTCATGAAATATGCAGTGAATATCTTGAGTTCAAGAGTAGCCAGGATCATCCCTGGGCAACTCCTTGGACCATGTCCAAATGTTCTTCTAGAGTACACATTTTGGATTTTCCCTTTCTTCATAGACTCTTCGTAAAACTCTGATTCTGGGTTATGTCTTTCAGGCTCAAAAACATTTGGTTCAAGCCAGTCAGAATGGCTGGTGTTAGAGTCAATTATTGTTTGAAGGAGAACCGTTCCTTTTTCAATAGGAACTCCACATATTTCTGTATCTGTATAAGCTTCATAAGATAAACTTAAGAAAATTGAGGATCGATTTTTAAGGATTCTTTGACCACATTGGAAAAATTAGGTCAAAGAATTTGTGTTTTTTTAGACATCTCTAAAGCAAACTTAGAGAAGTAGGTGCGAATATCTAAATGAATGATGGTTCCATCAGCTTGGACATATTCATAAGAGTCTTCTCCCTTCTTATCAAAATCCTGTCCGAATAGGATACTAACTAATATCCTGTTAGTACATAGAGTGATCTCTTCGGTAATATTTACTTCCTTTTGTTTCTTCATCTTGCTCAACAAAAACTCAGCACATTTGATTATGATAGGGAGATGCTTTGAGACAGAGCGTAGGCTTAACGTTTTAGCTAGGTTCTTCCCCTCCTAAGAATTCTTTTCGTTAAAGGAGAGTAAACAAATCATCCAGTAGAAATCTTTAAGAAACCACTTCCACTCTTTTTATGTTGATCGAAATAAAGTCTATCAATTTTTAGTTAGGATTTGAGATAAAATCTCTTTTCGAGGTTTATGAGAGATAACAAGAAGCATTGGAGTTGTTCCTAGCTGCTTGAGCTTTAAATAAATTTCAGGTTTCAATTGATTTCCAATTCTTATTTTACAATTAAAATTTGATGCTAGAAGCCTTGTGTTTGCAGATAATTGCTTTGAGAGTATTTCCTCTTGCAAATAAAAGCCCACACATATTCAATATATAAAAACTGCTTGGGGTTTTGGGGTTTTGGGGTTTTGGGGTTTTGGGGTTTTGGGGTTTTGGGGTTTTGGGG